CCGGCTAATTTTTTTTATTTACTGTAGAGACAAGGTCTCGCCAAGTTGCCTAGGTGGGTCGCGAACCCATGGGCTTAGGCAATCCACTTGCCTTGGCCTCCCAAAGTGCTGGGATTACAGGCTGAGCCACCAAGCCTGGCCAACTATTTTAGCATCTTAAAATAGTTGGGGGGAATAAAACAAAAGTATTTATTTTGAGAAAGAAAATTTATTTGACACATCAAAGTTAATTATATGGAATTCAAATGTCTATAAAAAGCTCATTGGAACACAGGCATGCATATTCATTTATATTGTTTAGTGTTGCTTTCACACTGTAACAGCAGAGTTGAGTCACTAGGACTGAGATCACATGGCCCACAAAGCCCAAAATGTCACTGGGTCCTTAACAGAAAAATGTGCCAACCCCTGCTTCAGCTTGTGTTGAGTCCAACAAACAAGGATGTCCTCTTACAAATTTGGCAGTATAACTATCAAAGTCAGAACATTAATATTTACACATGCCAGGTTCGGTGGCTCAGCCTGTAATGCCGCACCTCTGGGAGGCTGAGGTGAGTGGATTGCCTGAGCCCGCGGGTTCTAGACCCGCCTGGGCAGGAGAGACCTCATCTCTACAATAAATCAAAAATATTAGCCGGGCGTGGTAGCATGCGCCAGTAGTTCCAGCTACTTGGAAGGCTGAGGCGGAAGGATTGCCAGAGCCCAGCAGGTCGAGGCTGCGGTGGCCGGGAGCGGCCACTGCACTCCGGTCTGGGCGACAGTGAGACTCCAACTCAAAAAAAAAAAAAAATATTTACACGTTACTACCATCTAATCCACAGACCCCACTCAAATTTCAAAACTTGTTTCAATACTATCCTGCCCACCCCAGGATCTAATCCAGGAACACAGGCTTGCATTGAGTTGCCATGGCTTTAGTCTCTTGCGTTCTAGAGGAGTTCCTCAGTTTTCTCCTAGTTTCCATAACCTGACACTTTTGAGATTACAAGCCAGTGATGTGGCAGGATATACCTTAATTTGGGCTTGTCTGATGCTTCCTAGTGATGACAGTCAGGTTATGCATTTTTGTTGCTGAATGCATGCCTGACCCCTCCCTACATGGCACAGAGAATATAACTGATCTTCCCGCAGTTACCCCAAAACTAGTGACGCTCAGTACCAGACCTCGCCGCAGCTTCCCGCTCTACGAGCTCTCAGAGGAGGAAGGGACAGGCAAGGGGTGAAGGAGGCACTGAGGGAAGAGGGAGTGAGCGAGGGGACTGGACATTAGAGCACGACTCCCGCCCAGGGACGCGATTTTACGGAGGGCGGCTGTAGGGGGAACCCGGGAATCGAGTGGGCGTGCGCGCGCTCTCGCGCCATAGGGGCCGGGCAGTTTTTCGCTCCTTTTCTCGCTCCTGGCCTCGATGTACCCATCTATAAAGCGAACAGGTGGCCTCCTCCAGTTCCGACATTCCTTAGTTTCCCCTCCCACCCGCAGCAGCCTTCCCGCCTCGCCGGCTCACCTGGCGCTTGCTCTACCCCGAGGGCCCAGGCCGCCACGGAGACCGCGCTTCCGCCCCACGCTGCGGCGACGCCTGCGCCCGCCGCCAGGAAGGACCCCGCAGCCTCCGCGTCGCGCCCTGCCGCGGAGGACAACCCTCTGCCTGAACAGTGGCTCCGAGGATCGCCGGCCGCGGGGACAGGAACAGGCACGGTGGAGTCGTGGGGTCCTCCCACCAAGGCGTGGGCAGCTCCGGAGAGAATGAGGCCCGAGGACATGTGAACCTGATCAGGCGTCTCGGGACCGCCCTGAACGGGGGCCTTCGGGACGACCACGTGGGCGGGCTGTTGGAACAGTTGCTAGGCAACCACAGCGCCTGCGCGTGGTCTGCGCTGAGCTGCACTCCTGTCCGGGCGTATCTGGGGATCCTCAAAGAAAGCAGAGGGACCAAGGCGGGGGCTGCCGGGGTGAAGGCCCGGGCGTCTGAGTAAGGGGGACGGAAGCGTTAGTTCTACTTATTCAGTGACTGGGGAGGGCTCAGAACTGGGCACCTGAGTTCCGTTGCCGGCCAGCCCAGCCCCTTCTGGGCATTCAGCCTGCTTCCCCACGTTGGGTTGGGGGCGGCTATGGGGTTTGTTGCTGGCCTCCTGCTTCCCTGCCCAGAGCTGATCGTGATGCCTTTGCCACAAAATCCAGCTCGACTCACAGGAGTCAGGTTCGGAAAAGTCTCACTACAAGTCAATGACAGAGCCAAGACCAGACCCCATATAGGTCGCTGTAGAAATGGCCCATCAGCCTCATGCGCAGAGGCTGCAGAAGCGCGGGGGCTGAACGAAAGGCGTCCCCCAGATACCTAGGGACCTGTGCTCCAGCCCCGGGGTGGACAGAGGGGCTCGGGGATGGGGTCACTGAGCTCCTTTTCCTACGACTCCTGCTCGATGCCCTAGCTCGTTCGTTGCACCTGGTTTGGGTGACAGTGCTCCTCCTCACTGAAGACATTTAATGAAGGATGGAATTTTATCCCTGGGCTTAAGAATCACTAACAAGGGTTTTGCTTCTGTGTGTGGTCCTCTATCAAAACGGCTTGCTATGGAGGGATTCTATGTGGAAGAGTGAGGAACTGAATTCAGAGATACGACGAGAGCCTCCTCTGCTGAAGCACCCAAATTAAAAGTATTTTGAGAGGCAGAGAGTAAAATTAAGACAGGACTCCAAACTGAAAGTCAGGACTCTCGATTCTCTTTTCAGTGACAAGTCTTGTGCCAGTCCTCACTGTGCAACTCAGCTCATCTCTGTAAAATAGAAAACTCGATTTTTGTAACACCGGCCAAGGTAAGTGACATGAATCCAGGGTGCTTTGGGGTCATTTTGTGTTCTGGTAAAGAATCCAGAGGCACTCTCTTTCCCCTGATGTGGACCCTCCCCTGCTGTGTATTTCTCCCTTGCCTTCCCAGCCCCAGGCCATGGAAAGGAATGATGTAATCGACTTCAAGGTTTTGGAGAAAGAGCTGCAGGCTGCGCTCGCTGCCGATGAGAAGTACAAAAGGGAGAATGCCGCCAAGTTGCGCGCGGTGGAGCAGAGGGTGGCTTCCTATGAGGAGTTCAGGTGAGCTCGCTGCTATTTCTCTAAGACCCTCCTGATATGGTGGACACAGTGGTTAAACAGCAAGCACTCTGGAATCAAACCATGCTGTGCTTCAGGCCTGTCCCCGCCTTCTGCTACTTGTCTGAATTTCTTTAACCTCTCTAAGCCTCAATTCCTCTTCCATAAAAAAGAAGATCTTTTCGCGACCCACCTGGGCAACTTGGCGAGACCTCATCTCTACAATAAATAAAAAATTAGCTGGGC